CAGCCTTCACTGCTCCATTTCCTCTTTCCTGATGATTCTTACTCTCTTACTCTCTTACTCTCTTACTCTCTTACTCTCTTACTCTCTTACTCTCTTACTCTCTTACTCTCTTACTCTCTTACTCTCTTACTCTCTTACTCTCTTACTCTCTTACTCTCTTACTCTCTTACTCTCTTACTCTCTTACTCTCTTACTCTCTTACTCTCTTACTCTCTTACTCTCTTACTCTCTTACTCTCTTACTCTCTTACTCTCTTACTCTCTTACTCTCTTACTCTCTTACTCTCTTACTCTCTTACTCTCTTACTCTCTTACTCTCTTACTCTCTTACTCTCTTACTCTCTTACTCTCTTACTCTCTTACTCTCTTACTCTCTTACTCTCTTACTCTCTTACTCTCTTACTCTCTTACTCTCTTACTCTCTTACTCTCTTACTCTCTTACTCTCTTACTCTCTTACTCTCTTACTCTCTTACTCTCTTACTCTCTTACTCTCTTACTCTCTTACTCTCTTACTCTCTTACTCTCTTACTCTCTTACTCTCTTACTCTCTTACTCTCTTACTCTCTTACTCTCTTACTCTCTTACTCTCTTACTCTCTTACTCTCTTACTCTCTTACTCTCTTACTCTCTTACTCTCTTACTCTCTTACTCTCTTACTCTCTTACTCTCTTACTCTCTTACTCTCTTACTCTCTTACTCTCTTACTCTCTTACTCTCTTACTCTCTTACTCTCTTACTCTCTTACTCTCTTACTCTCTTACTCTCTTACTCTCTTACTCTCTTACTCTCTTACTCTCTTACTCTCTTACTCTCTTACTCTCTTACTCTCTTACTCTCTTACTCTCTTACTCTCTTACTCTCTTACTCTCTTACTCTCTTACTCTCTTACTCTCTTACTCTCTTACTCTCTTACTCTCTTACTCTCTTACTCTCTTACTCTCTTACTCTCTTACTCTCTTACTCTCTTACTCTCTTACTCTCTTACTCTCTTACTCTCTTACTCTCTTACTCTCTTACTCTCTTACTCTCTTACTCTCTTACTCTCTTACTCTCTTACTCTCTTACTCTCTTACTCTCTTACTCTCTTACTCTCTTACTCTCTTACTCTCTTACTCTCTTACTCTCTTACTCTCTTACTCTCTTACTCTCTTACTCTCTTACTCTCTTACTCTCTTACTCTCTTACTCTCTTACTCTCTTACTCTCTTACTCTCTTACTCTCTTACTCTCTTACTCTCTTACTCTCTTACTCTCTTACTCTCTTACTCTCTTACTCTCTTACTCTCTTACTCTCTTACTCTCTTACTCTCTTACTCTCTTACTCTCTTACTCTCTTACTCTCTTACTCTCTTACTCTCTTACTCTCTTACTCTCTTACTCTCTTACTCTCTTACTCTCTTACTCTCTTACTCTCTTACTCTCTTACTCTCTTACTCTCTTACTCTCTTACTCTCTTACTCTCTTACTCTCTTACTCTCTTACTCTCTTACTCTCTTACTCTCTTACTCTCTTACTCTCTTACTCTCTTACTCTCTTACTCTCTTACTCTCTTACTCTCTTACTCTCTTACTCTCTTACTCTCTTACTCTCTTACTCTCTTACTCTCTTACTCTCTTACTCTCTTACTCTCTTACTCTCTTACTCTCTTACTCTCTTACTCTCTTACTCTCTTACTCTCTTACTCTCTTACTCTCTTACTCTCTTACTCTCTTACTCTCTTACTCTCTTACTCTCTTACTCTCTTACTCTCTTACTCTCTTACTCTCTTACTCTCTTACTCTCTTACTCTCTTACTCTCTTACTCTCTTACTCTCTTACTCTCTTACTCTCTTACTCTCTTACTCTCTTACTCTCTTACTCTCTTACTCTCTTACTCTCTTACTTTCTTACTCTCTTACTCTCTTACTCTCTTACTCTCTTACTCTCTTACTGTCTCTCTCTTACTGTCTCTCTCTTACTGTCTCTCTCTTACTGTCTCTCTCTTACTGTCTCTCTCTTACTGTCTCTCTCTTACTGTCTCTCTCTTTCTGTCTCTCTCTTTCTGTCTCTCTCTTTCTGTCTCTCTCTTTCTGTCTCTCTCTTTCTGTCTCTCTCTTTCTGTCTCTCTCTTTCTGTCTCTCTCTTTCTGTCTCTCTCTTTCTGTCTCTCTCTTTCTGTCTCTCTCTTTCTGTCTCTCTCTTTTCTCTATCTCTTTCTCTCTCTTTTCTCTCTCTCTCTTCTCTCTCTCTCTCTTTCTCTCTCTCTCTTTCTCTCTCTCTCTCTTTCTCGCTTGCTCTCTTTCTCTTTCTCTCTTTCTCTCTTCTCTCTTTCTCTCTCTCTTTCTCTTTCTCTTTCTCTTTCTCTTTCCCTCTCTCTCTCTCTCTTTTCTCTCTCTCTTGTTCTCTCTCTCTTTTTCTCTCTCTCTCTTTTTTTTCTCTCTCTTTTTCTCTCTCTCTTTTTTCTCTCTCTCTTTTCCTCTCTCTCTTTTCCTCTCTCTCTCATTTTCTCTCTCTCTTCTTTTCTCTTTCTTTCTCTTCTCTCTCTGTCTCTCTGTCTCTCTGTCTCTCTGTCTCTCTCTCTCTCTCTCTCTCTCTCTCTCTCTCTCTCTCTCTCTCTCTCTCTCTCTCTCTCTCTCTCTCTCTCTCTCTCTCTCTCTCTCTCTCTCTCTCTCTCTTTTTTTTCTCTCTCTTTTCTCTTTTCTCTTTTCTCTTTTCTCTCTCTCTCTCTTCTCTTTCTTTCTCTCTTCTCTTTCTCTCATTCTCTCTCTTATTTTCCTTTATTTTCCCATTTGTTTTCTGTTTTGCTGTCTCATTTTCTCTCTCATCCTCTCTCTCTTATTTCCTCTTTCCTCTTCTCTCTCCCTCTCATTCTTTTCACTCCTCTCCCACTGATTTTCATTTTTTTCCCTCTCATTCCCATTTTCTCTCCCCCCTTTCTATCTCTCATCATCATCTTTTTCCCCCCTCTCTATCACTTTCTCTTTCCCTCTCTCTCTCTAATTTTGTCTCTTCCAATTTCTTTCTCTTTTTATTTCTCTGTTTCTCTGGAACTTTTGCACTTCCTTTATCACTTGACATTTAAAGTTCTAAGTTTTTAAAGTTTCTTGATTGTGTGTTGAGCAATAAAAGGCTTCACAATGCCATAACTTTTAAAAACAATGATGTTGTGAGCCAACAAGCAGGATTACACGCCATTTTGCTTTGACAACATAATTATCTAGGATATCTTTGCCTGTACATATTAATAAAATCAAACCAAAATCAATTTGTAATCAATATATGATGGAATTTTTCAAAGCTACAGCTTCTCACCTAATGTTTGCAGTCCTAAATACTTTCTTTACTTTCTTACCCTTGATGGTGAACACTTTTTGTCTATTCACAAAGTCTTGATGGTCTAATAGCACAGGGATGTAACCTGAACAAGCACTTATTGTAACACTTCCTTCTTCAACCCCCTGCAGCCCATTAAACACCAGCTGTACAATGTACTTTGTGGAACCTAAACTTTTAATTGGCTTAAAGGAAAATGTAGTCCTGTCAAGAATGAAAGAACTTGTACCTTTTACTATATACGAACCTATAAGAGATATACTGTACTGTAAAAATATAGATTAATTTCAAACACTCAACAAAACTGATACAGTGTTGCAAACTGATTATTCTTCTGGATATAAAACTCATTTATGAATAGAATCCACTGAGACAAATGTAGAAAAGGAATAGATGAGAAAGAACAACTTGTCAAACTAAAGGATGTAACTAAAGAGTTCTGATTTATATCTGCCACAGACTTACTTATAACTGTGAAGATATAAATCAAACTATGTCAGTTCAATTTGTTGCTTTGTAATGTTAGTCATCATTCTCATTTTTACATGTCTGTAATATGATCTACATTGCAAACAATAAAATCAAAGGAACTTATTGCTGGTTTCACAAATCAGATTAATCAGGTATGCAAAACTTTATGCTATAGGTTTTAGCCAATCCAATCCTTCCAGAATTTTTCATGATAAACAAATATTTCCTCCAGCTCCTCTGTTGCTAACCAACTGATATGCTTATTAATAAAAATAGTATCCTTATAGGTACCTTAAATTTTTTCCCAATCCATCTTTCTTATTTTGTCTTGCCTTTGTTTATTTCTTTCTGTCTCTTTTTAAAAATTTTATGGACAGTTATCTGATGTCAGTCTCATACTACATGCCCCTTCCCCATGTGCTACGAACAATAGGGCTCTTGCAGCACAAGAGGAGCTCAAATCCCCAAACATTTCATCAGTACTTGGGCATCTTAACCCACAGAGCCATTGGTACTATCTATGTATTTCAAAAAATATTCATGCAACCATATCATCCTGCTTTTGTGCATATATTTACTTAGTTACCCAACAATTAAGGTATCATTTTTTTTAATCTTACTTTATTTACCTTCTTCAATAATTTTGCTATGTATTACTTTTGCTTTACTGATACTGTTGAAGAAAATATACCATTACAGTCAATTTTTTTAGTTAACAACCTGCCATAATGGTACAATACCCTTTTATATGACCTGTAACTTCTTATGCAAAATAAACCATGAGCAGGCCAAACTGAAAAACAGAATTTCCTCATGCAAAAAATACAAACTCTGTCTCAAATGTAATGAGTAATTGATAAACAAAGATAGATAAGAATTTTTAGTCCTGGCAGACAACTTGCATCTCACTGCAAACAATAGAGGCAAAGGCAGTGGCTGCATCCTTTAAAAATTCTGGAGAGATTGAGGGGTTTAGGTATGTGTGTTGCGTCATACTTATACAGTCATAGGCCATGTTCTATCTTGTGTTATATGTTGTGTGTGGTCAAGTATGTACATTTTTATGTTGGGCGAGTATTCACATTCATCCACATGACAGTAGTCTTTGAAAATTTATACTTGCAAAAACACAGGAACGTCAAGAACTCATCCATGTCTACAACTTCTTGCAGAACATAAAAATCAGAGAGGAACTCAAGGATAAAAAAATAAAGAAAATGAGCCTGTAATTTTATATCAAATATCATATGATTTTTTGGACCTATTGAAATCATATAATCAAATTATGTACATCACTTGTAAAAATGTTATTACATTATCACAAAGATCTTCTAAATCTGTTTTAAAACAATATTAATAAACAAATTTTTAAAATGCATAAAATAATCATTAAATACTGAAAAAAATAATTGTTATAAGAGTAATGATATTAATGAAAATAATAATAATTATGAAAATAATAATAACAATAACTATAACAATAATAATAATAATAATAATAATAATAATAATAATAATAATAATAATAATAATAATAATAATAATAATAATAATAATAATAATATCATCATCATCAATCACAACAATTATTCATACAATAATGATAAAGACCATACACACATACATGTATAAAAAACAAGTTGCATCAGTTTTGCAGAGCGATTGACGCCAGCCTCTGTGGCCACTTGGCTTAAAAGGAAAATGCGGTTCGCTACACAATGACACTACACTGCGCACATGTGAAGTCTGTGCCGAGAGACGTCACAGATCACAGATGCTACCTGGCACTTTTTTTTTTTTCCTCTTTTTTGGTTTTGGGTTTTGTTATTCGTTCCTTACAGAAAAGAAAAAAAAATAATAATAACAATGATAAATGGCAGAAACATGACAAATCACTCAATCAAGAAACTCTTGTTCTGTTCTCCTCTCCTCCGGGTTAAGCCTGAATTGGCGAGTGATTCCTTACCTGACTAGAAGTTACAAAGGATCAGTCGTCACCTGCAAACTAACACATCTCTAGCTTTACATCTGTGACACCATAAACCATCACCAGCTTTTGAGGTGCTTTCGTGCAATCCTTGAAAAGTGTGGGTTAAAATAAGTTTTGCACAAAAAGGAAAAGAAAGACAAAGAAAAAGATAGAATAAGGATACCTGTCCAGTTAATAAATAAACGAGAGGATGCTGTACAGTCATCTATACATGAAAAGAGAGGTGAATACCACAGACAAAAATAAAATACTCAAATTAGTATGATAAAATGAGAAAAAAAAAAAACATTCTATTAGCACAGTTATTGGTTACATTAACCTATCTAGGATTTAAAAAAAAAAAAAAGGGGGGGAAGGGCCTACAGTAAAAAATGTAAAATGCAATACGTGAACATGAAAAGAAAGGAATGCATCATAGTTTAAAAGCTGTAATAGTACATACTGTCACATCATCATCCACATTCCTGCTCTAACTACACAAGGATCAGACCATCACTAATGCCCTCTTTCTCGACAAAACTTTTTGAACTTACGTGCAAGCCTTTAAACGTTCAGTCGGACCCCAGCATTAAGGCCATCTCAAGATATGTATGAAAGTCAATTCACTCCCTAAGTTTTTTCGTTTCTCTTTTTCAGAAGTCATAAAAAAGAAAGAATAATTATGTACATTCAGATACAAGTTAGAGATATGGCAACATCCACACCACAAATGTTGTTCCAGGGTTTCTCGTCTGGCTGAAGAAGCTGACGGCCAGCGTGCAGTCACCTCTTATGCACCAAGACTTCCAAGACTTTCCTTCTTCCTCTTCTTCATGGATGATCAGATTTTGGCAAACAAATTGAGGATCTACAATAAAACTTACAACTAATGACTGGAAAACCTTATCTGAATGCATAAATTATCTCTGAATATGGACAGTTGAACCTTTTTCTTCTCTTACGCTCTCTCTTGCTCTCTCCCTCTCACCACAGCATATAAAATGAACACCAAAAAGGAATAAGTACAAACTACAATATTCAACACTGCAAACAGTGTAGTCAAAACCTGTAGAAAAATCAGATGGAAGAGAAGCTTGGCACGAGCCTCCCAGCGTGAGAGTTATGGCAGTGTTTGGCGCCCACAGACAAACCTGCATGCAGAGACTACCCACACAGCTCTGCCCAAACATCACAACACAGTAATGTACAGCCTAAACAAAAGCTTTGGGCTGAGATGGGGCATGCTGCTGCGTACAGTTCCAGATACAAAGCTGTGCAGAGAACTCAAAACAGCCATGTACAGGGACCATCCACACAACAGTGAATAGGCACTGAATGCATGGCCTGGCAGGTAGGCAACCTCTGCACTGCCTATTAAACAAGACAGGAAGACATGAATCAGATGTTTAATAGCAAACAAAAAAATTATATTACACTACCATTTCTCAAAATATTTCCTCACAATATGTCTTTAATTAAGTCTGACAGCCACTTCTTTGCTTTCTAGACCATGAGGTTCACAGATATATATGTAGCATTAATCAAGGAAGGCAAATGAATGAAAAAATTCATATAAACATGACAAATCTTGAGCTCTCTAGGAGTGATGACCAGCAACGCCCTGCTCGGATGGTCAGCTCACAGCTTGGGGTCACAACGAGCAAGTCCGTGAGTATCTCGTCCACAAAACAATTACGCTTTTTATATTTTCACATATCAAGTAAGTTTAACCATCTCATGCTGGCCATGGGCAGGCAGCACTCATCTTTCCATACTAATGGCTGATGACGATCCACAAGCAATCTTTAGTATAATTGGCAACCGGTGCACTCCCAGTCCTCCTTTGGACATCAAGGTCAGATCATTTGAATGACTTCTGTTGAACTCATTCATTTTCTTACGACAGGCAGTGCTTGCACTAAGCAGGGATATGAATCAAATGGCACACATTGCACAGTGACCTCATATCAGGCAGATATGCTTGGCATCTGTGTTTGGTATTTCTCCCAACTTCTTAGCCACCATCATCATCTTAACTTTAACTTGTTATGTGTATCCACTCTCTTGGCGAGTCGAATATCATTTTCAAATTTACATCTTTTAAAAGTTTACGGCACATGTCATATTATAAAAGATATAAAGAGCACAATTCTGCTAGAAATTCTGCTGTCTCTTCCTTTTCTGGTCCATAGCATCAAGGATAGGTTGTCGTTTAGCATGATAGCGTTGACGTAACTCATCAATTTCCCGTTCCATTTCTTGGTCTAGAGTAGCCATCCGCTGATGTAATTCTTCATAAGTCAGGTTTTTGAGCTGAAAAGATATAAAACTTTTTTTTCTCTCTCTATTTGCCATTAAGAATAAAAATGACTTACTGTTCATGACAAGAATATAAACTACATTTAATCATAGGCAAAAAATAAAAGAAAAGAAGACAACGTACTAAACACTACCCTATCCTTAAAAATAAAGGCAACAACACTAAGAACCTACAAAATCAAAGTCGCCATCAATGAAGGATCTCTGGAACTTGGGTTGATTCTCGGCTGCAACACCTCGAGATGGCAGTGGCTGGTGATTGGCTGGTTTGTTCATCTGAACTAACTGTCTCTGCAGATTATTCTGAAATTAACAATTAAATTCAGTTGTACTCTCTGGGCATGGAATACAAATTCTGGATATAAATGCAAAAATAATTGGTTTTCCTATATCTGCTTCCAATTACTTAATACTGCTATTAATACAAACAACACATCTGTGTCACTTTCATCTTCATAAATCTTTTACATGCTATTTGAAATCATCTACTTAAAAGCTTCTATCTCACTTATAGTCTATATAATCGTGTATATTCAAGTATTAGTTAAAACAGTAACCTAGGAAAGAGCCACTTTTGTGCAAAATGAAGTGAAAGAATGAGGTTCAAAGATAAAGCTGTACTTTGCAACCCTTTCACTTAACAGACACATCATTGAAAAGTCTTGTTGATTACCACAATTCATCTTTAATTTGAGCAAGACATAAAACATTTTAATACAACATATGTTTTCTCCACACTTATAAGAAATTATAAACAAGTCACCTTCCTGAAAAGGATGATGCTAATGAAAGATAATTCAAAAGTTTAGATGTAATAAAGCAATGACAATTAAAGGAGGACCTTCTGATTTTTATTCATTAGTCTCAAAGAACCTAGAGTTGATTAGCCCAATGCCTCCAGGTTGGCTGTAACACCAAGCAGCCTAACCCCTTGGGCCAAACATAAGCACACCACATGGAGGCAGCTTTGTAGTCTTTCATATCATATATACAATAACAATGATCTAATGAAGCTTCAAGCTATTTCTTAGTTTAATTTTTTGCAAAAGTTTCCAACCACGGTATTAAGGCCATACATACAAAAGACAATTATAGACCCAATATCAAACTGCTGAATTTCCCCAAGCAAAAACTACATGCCATCTACAAGGAAGATCTGTAACTGCACCAATTTTTTTACTTTTTCTTCAAAATGAATTGGACACATTGTACTGGGCACAGTGCATTATATACAGTGTGATTATGCATCATTTAGATCAATGAAAAATATCCAGTAAATGGTAAAATAGGGAAAGAGAGAGAGAGAGGGATACAAGCAAAGACAAAAAAATATGAATAAATGCAACATATGAAATCATTGTATGTACCACAAGTAGAGTAATAAAAAAGCAAACCAATTATATAAATAAATACTGAAATAAAATTTGGGAGGCATTCATATAAAAAATACTACCATTCAACATAAATTATTTAACATAACCTCTCCCCTACAACATCATGGATGAATCATATTTGTTCTTTCAATGATCTTACAAACCAGTATACACATCTTTAATCTGTAAACAAATTCATAATAAATTGAAGTAGATAAGCACTAGGAACTGGACAGGAAATATTTTTTACAGAAAGCTTTAACAAATAAAACACTTACTTGTTCTTCTTCCAAATTTGAGCACTGCCAGAGCAAGGAGCAGAAAAGTGTGTTAGTTTGCAAGGCAAAAAAATAGACAAGTTAGTAGGTCCTATATAAATTAACCCAATGCCGCCAAGAACATGCTGCACACATTTTTTTTTTTTTTGTGAAATGTCTCTGCACACAGATGGCTCTGCTAGTGCTGAGCCATAAAGGAGTCAATTAGCAGACCTTGTGATCTTACCTTATTTCACCTTTCCTGGACTTGGCAGGAAAAACGTTCTTTTATACTGATGCTATGAATATCAATGGTGTTATTTTTATTATAGACATTATGATTACTTTAATGTTACAACCATCAGTAACAGCAAAATAAGATAACAAAATATTTTCGTAAATCAAGGAAAAGGGTAAATGTGCGAGACAAGCAGTACTCATAATTGACTCACTGGTGACTTAGTACAAGCGTAGCCATCTATGTGTAAAAACAATTAATATAGTAAACTCACAGTGGGCATGGCATGTACATACATGCCTTGCCCGTCAGCTTTGGGTTAAGCAAGAATGAAAGAATATATAAAGATAACAAGGACAGAAATGGCAGTATAGCCTCTGATAACACCAGTTTTTGAAAGAGTATCTTTATTTTCTTATCAAAAAATAACAAATATATAAACAGAATATAGGTAGTAACCAATAATTAATCTTGAGAATGTTGAGAAAATCCTCCAGAACACAAACCAAAACTCCCCCAAAAGTAAGCAAATATCCCAAGCTGGTACCCAAGACACCACCGTTATAAGAAATCCCTTCTTCCTGCTCTGAAACCCACCTCGAACTTCTGTTGCTCCTCGGCCGACATGGGCTTCGGCTGCGAGTGTATTAGCGCCGTTGGAGAGTAAACCATTGTGCCGTCTCCACCTTGCTGGTCCTCGAAGGCCTGGCTGTTTTGCACCTGTTGCTGTTGTTGTTGTAGCTGTATTTGTTGTTGTTGTTGATGCTGTTGGTGATGCACTGTGCTGGGCTGTGGTTGCTGCTGCTGTGAGTGCTGAGGCTGTTGTAGTAATTGTTTTTCTTCTAAAGGCAACTGTAATGCACAAAGAAAATCATGAACAAAATAACAAAACAGTACAATCAAGTAAATCATATAACAACTTTACCTGATATACTTTTTACCTGATTCCCCACTGATACTGTAGTTATTTTCCTCTTTTGAAGGTTGCATCAATAACTAAGCTAATATGCCCCAAAGAATATTCATTAACACTTTTCTGTTCTATGCTTTAGTTCTTGATTTCCAGGATACTATAACCAATAATCTCTTAGAATATCTAATACCAATCCTCAGTAAAAAAATACTACACACAAAGAAAGTGCCACTTTCAAAACTACAAGGTTATACCTCATTTTTTAAGAAAATGATCATATGAATATCAAGTAAAACTTGGCATTATGTTCTATACATTGCGAACTATTTCTGTTATAAGAATTTCTATCAAAAGCAAGACTTCAATACAATACCTGCGATGATTGTGACGTCGGGTGCTGTTGTGTAACAATAGGTCGGCCCGTCCCAACATATTGCTGCGGCGCCAACTGCTCCAGCGGAGAGTTATCCTTCGAACCTTTACTTCTTGCCTGATACAAGAAAGCATTCCAGTTATGCCAAAAAGTAAATAATGTAAAATATATTTCTGAACAGCACAATCAGAATACAGAAAACACAAAAGTTCCACAACACATGAGCTTGTATGTGACCACAATACTGAGAACATATCATTCCTTACCCTCTTTTCTTGTTCTTTTTTATCGAAATGGTCAAGGAACAAAGGCCTGTATTTCTTGCTCTGCTCACCAGGAGCGGTGTCATGCCCTATAGAAAGAAAACAAATTATAATAATACATCAAAATCAATTACAAGTCTCAAACCTATTTTTCTTTAAGTAAAATATTAGCAAAATACACCCATTCTTAATCAAAATAATCTTAAAAGTAATACTGGCTATAAATGCTGCTATATGATAATAATACAATCTATTTCAAACAAATAATAAAAATAATCTACCCAAACATCTAGATTCAATGAAAAATCAATACAGCCTCAACCAAACCTCCTAGTATATCTCTCAACTGAACCTCCTCCTCCTTAATTCCATGGGTACCTCTACAGCACTGCCACCAACCAAGGAAATCGTCTCTACTCACTCTTCATCGTGGAGTCCTCGTCTTCATCTTCATTGTCAGAGTTGATGACCATTGTCCCGAGGTCTGAGGAGAGCGTCGCTGAGTCTACTGGTGAGACGAGAGTGCCACCAGACTGCAGGGGCGCCATCAGAGTGCCCTCATTGTTGGCGGGGCGCAAGGTGCCACTGTCACCCCCACCGGCACTATACCTGACCATCGTCCGACTGTCCACTTCATCGTCGTCCTGAGGGAGAAGGTGTACATGAAACTAAGGGCATGTAGATTCTGAAACCAGCTCTGCACCAAGCCCCATGAGCCACATCCCAAGTTACATGGAATCATGCATTTGTTAATGATCATTTTATGGCTATTATCTAGCAAAACGGCCATCTAATACTGAGACACTAATTATCATTTCATCTTTTAAAAATTAACATTACAATATCAATTTAGCTAATGTTGATTAGGATCTGACCACCACTTCCAAATACAGCTCAACTAAAATTCCAACTAATGGCTGTATATATATAACTATACGTTTATTTGTCTGTCTGTCTCCATCTGTCTGTCTCTGTCTGTCTCTGTCTGTCTGTCTCTGCCTGTCTGTCTGTCTCTGCCAGTCTGTCTATCTGTCTCTGCCTGTCTATCTCTGCCTCTCTGTCTGTCTGTCTCTGCCTGTCTGTCTCTGCCTGTCTGTCTGTCTGTCTCTGCCTGTCTGTCTGTCTGTCTCTGCCTGTCTGTCTGTCTGTCTGTCTCTGCCTGTCTGTCTGTCTCTGCCTGTCTGTCTGTCTCGGTCTGTCTGTCTGTCTCTGTCTGTCTGTCTGTCTGTCTGTCTCTGTCTGTCTGTCTGTCTCTGTCTGTCTGTCTGTCTGTCTGTCTGTCTCTGTCTGTCTGTCTGTCTGTCTCTGTCTGTCTGTCTGTCTCTGTCTGTCTGTCTAGCTGTCTGTCTGTCTAGCTGTCTGTCTGTCTCTGCCTCTCTGTCTGTCTGTCTGTCTGTCTCTGCCTGTCTGTCTGTCTGTCTCTGCCTGTGTCTGTCTGCCTGTGTCTGTCTGTCTGTCTTTCTGTCTGTCTGTCTGTCTGTCTGTCTGTCTGTCTGTCTGTCTGTCTGTCTGTCTGTCTGTCTGTCTGTCTGTCTGTCTGTCTGTCTGGCTAATACATTCATTTTAGAAAATGCATTTCTTTTACTGTTATCAAATCCCATTTGGTTTTAGTAACCAAATAATCTTTAAAAAATAGATGTTGATCTAAATCTACAAAGAATAGAAAAACAAACTTGCAAAGAGGCCATGCACAAAAGTAATTTTTAAAAATTCTGAAAGCATGCATTACAAGAAAACATGCAACTAAACATATGTTAGGAAAATACAAAACATTAAAACATGCACCAAAACCACATAGAAGAAAAACATGCATTAACAACATAGAGGAAAAAAGAAAACAGTTTAAAGCCAAAACTTAGAATTATACATGCATAAACATTAACAAAGAAAACATGCAAAGAAATTATACAGAATAGCCAAACAAAAGCTTCATCAAATACAAACTACAGTATATTACATGTTACACATATTTTCTAAAATAGTAATATACCTAAAGTCTCATATCAACATTTAACAAAATTCAAGTTACAATTCTTTAACTTGCTTCAACCAAAGCATTCCCTCTCAAATCTGAACTTGTACATGTCTCTATTAAACCGAAGCCAATGGGGATGGCATATATGTACATGCCATGCCTACTGTGAGTTTTAATTTATTAACTGTTTTAACACACAGATCGCTTCCCAAGTTACAAGTCACCAATGAGCCAATTACGAGAACTACCTGCCTCATCTGTTTACTTTTTTATTTGAATTTTGAAAATATTTTCTGGCATCTTATATTGCTGTTAGTAATGGCAATAACACTATAAAAAATGTAATATCTATAATAAAAATAGCAGCATCAATATTGATAGTATTAGTCAAGAAACATTTTTCCCACAAACTCAAGGAAATGTGAAATCATGTGAGATCACAAGGTCTAGTAACTGACTCATTGGTGTCTAAGTACTTACAGAGCCATCTATGTGCAGAGACATTTCACAGAACATTACTACAATGAACACATTTTCCCAGAGACTTTGGGTTGAGATGAAATGCCATAGTTGTTTAACATTCATGTACATGCTTTTAAAGGTATATATGTTACTTCCTCAAAATAAATTTCTACATTTTGAGAGAGAACAAAATGACACGTGTATTTGTGACACTACTGAAAACAGTCTTAAACACTCTACAAGAAACTAATTATAACTTAAGTGAAAGCTGCCAACACATGCAAAAAATACGTAAAAAAATATGTTTAGATCTCGGCATTATTTTTACAAAAGAACACATAAATAAACACAGTATATTTCTATCAAAGTTGCATGCAAAACATTTTATATGATGCATTCTCAGGACATTATCATCTATTTCAAGCATCTTTCTCCCTTTTGCACATTCATTACCTTGACATCAATGATTTCCTAGAAGAAAAATATTCATCTTGTAATTTTTTTTTTCTTTTAGCTTCCTTAACATAATGACATAAACTAGACATTGACTTACATATAACATAAGTTACTATATATGTTTGTGATCTTATTTACAATACACCTAATCATGGAATCTACAAAAAATATTCAAAATCTAATATATTTCATACAAGTTCATGCAAGTATGTCAGTGTAACCTTATTCTATGTTAAAATATATATCATGTAATCAAAAATATGTAGCATATACTATGAACTTTCTATACAAGTAATTCACTTGTTATTTTTCTAATACAACAATTTGTAGTGTCTTTACCTAAAGCACAAAAGGAAAGTTATTACAAGCCATATATAAGTGAAACACAGCAGCAAAGAACACTGAATTTAAGTACATACATTTTCCTTTTTCTTTTTAAATATATAACATAAAAAAATAAATAAATAAATAAAAGGCTACTAATGGAGACAGGAGCAAGTGCAGGACACCAGCATTCAGGGTAAACAGTACCACAAAGAGGTGCGCACGGCAGGAGATAAACAAACGCCACATGCTCTGTCCCTGGAGCGGCCACTAACCTGGATCTCATTATTAGCCAGGTTGGGGTGGTGCTGATGGTGGGTTTGGTTGTGCTCATTGTTTTTGTTGTCTTGCTCAGCTTGTGTGCTCATCCCCGGCAATTGGAGCTGAGGGGACTGCTGTTGCGACAACTGGGAGACAGTCAGCGTGTTATTATAACGCAAGCAAGCACGGCCAGTCTCCTTTTCACATCATTAATCCAGTCGTGTGGTCAGACACACTGTGTCATGCTCCAATTTGCTACAATAACTGGCTTGCTCTTCCCAATCTACAATCCTTTCTCTCTAAATCTGATCATCTGATAATGTACTGATAGCGCAGAGGTAAACATACCATGAAAAAATATCTTGTACCTCTTCCACACATAGACATCAAACTTCATCCTATTATACTGTACATACTGTCAGAGAAAAATGTGCTCCAAACATATTTTAGATTTCATCAACATAAATATGAATAATTGAAGCTCAGACCATAATCCTTACAAAAATTCCTTCTCTTATATCTGAGGTCCACCATGTATTCCTCACTAAAATGTAACTCCTCAAACATATACACCTTTTAGAGAAAAAGTAAATTCTGGATGTACCACACAACCATACGAGTCCTACACTGTTCTAACAACTAACTCAACAAAAGAATTGCTTCCTTTTTCCTAGTTCTGAATATCGTACGAAATCTCTTCAAATTGGTTCTTCCAGCACACACAAACCACCGTAACTAGAGCCACGAGACCTATGACAATCTTTTTTTTTTTTCTCCCTCTCTCTAAAGACATTCATGCCTGTTCTTGCTAAAAATGACTAAAAGTTCCTGCATCTCATTTTCATCACTTGACACAAAAAATTTCAACCAATATATCTCATTTTCTTAAAGATGCCTGGACCCTATAAAACAAGACCAAGTTACCTAGGAAAGCCCATGTCAGGAATACAATCAAACAAGTATTAACTCCCACCTGATAACATGCAAATTAGTTAACTATCATTTCATTGTTGCTCCAGTGTAGAAGGGAATTCCACCTCCAAACCCCAGATCAGATTTTAAAGCTATTATCTAGTTTGCAACACTACAAGCCTTGACACAGTAAGAGTAATTCCACCACCAATCAACTCCCATACTGTGATGTGCTATGATTATCTGTTCCTCTTCTATTATCGAAAAACTGAAAGCTCCTATTTCAAAAAGAATAATTTAGGTCTTTATTGCTAGAAAAAATTCTAGTTAGTTTAGTCCCTCACATAACATAAATTTTATTAATGTATTTACATAAGGCATCTATAAAAGTACATGCAAATGATGGCAAAGGTTAATCAAATGAACATTTAGACTGAGAACTATCCTTTTACCATTCAAATGTTAATAAAGTGGACATTTAGAATTTACCATTCATCTGACACCAAAGAAACTCAAATAAATAACATCAAATTTCAACTTCTGTTTAAGTCATAACAAACATGGAAAAAAAAAATTTAAGTTAAAAATACACATTAAAAACTTAATAAACATACGCTTTAAGAAATACACCAAGTATCTCAAAGGTGCAGTGCTTCAACTTACCGATTCCGTGATATGCTTGATTTGGTTCTGCCGGTTGGAATTCTGGTTCTCACGGATCTCCATTGCCTCCTCCAGCATGTTCCTTAGAATGCTGGCCGGCTGAGCACCACGGATGAACTGATGTTGGAGGAGCTTGGATGCCGTCGCTCTCTCCTCGGGGTTCTTCACTAGACATCTGGATTAGGGTAGGTATAAAGCTTTAGCAGAGAGCATCTCCTGTATACAGCAATTCAATTTGTCTACTATTTATTCTCATATATGAATGAGAGAAAGGTCTCTTTGTTTAAAAAAGGAAATGATGTATCCACTACACTGATAGTACATACAGCTGCCAGAACATTTGGAATAATAAAGAAAATTAAAATGAATAACAAAAGATAGAAAGACAAGGAAAGTAAATTACATGAAGCAATCTTTCGTCCTCTGGTATTCATACACGCCTCAGTCACTTCACACCTATCAATTACATTGGCTTCTCAATCAACATGCACCCACCATCCCTTCCCTCACTCTAAAACGCACACATCACATATTGACTAACAATCCTTTGGCAATACCCCAGGACCCCTTACCTGGACACGAAGTCAATGAACTCGGGTTGCCACTGGTCGGGCTCTCGGAATGATGGCGGTGGCTTAGTGGGGATCATGAATATGGCACGCATAGGGTGAATGTCACCATAAGGGGGCTTCCCCTCCGCCATTTCTAATGCTGTTATACCTGTTGGATACAAGAGTGGATCTGGTAAGTCTAAACTTGAGGGAGTGAGGCAAGTGAGTGAGTGAGTGCGTGAGTGAGTGAGTGAAAGTGTGAGTGAGTGAGCGAGTGAGTGAATGAGTGGATGAGTGAAAGTGTGTGAGAGTGAGTGAGTGAAAGTGTGTGAGTGAAAGTGAATGAGTGAAAGTGTGAGTGAGTGAGTGAGTGAATGAGTGACTGAATGAAAGTGTGAGTGAGTGATTAGGTGAAGGAGTGCATGAATGAGTGTGTAAATGAGTGAATGAGTGAATGAGTGGATGAATGAATGAATGAGTGACTGAATGAAAGTGTGAGTGAGTGAAAGTGTGAGTGAGTGAAAGTGTGAGTGAGTGAAAGTGTGAGTGAGTGAAAGTGTGAGTGAGTGAAAGTGTGAGTGAGTGAAAGTGTGAGTGAGTGAAAGTGTGAGTGAGTGAGCGAGTGAGCGAGTGAGTGAATGAGTGGATGAATGAGTGAATGAGTGAATGAGTGAATGAGTGAATGAGTGGATGAATGAGTGAATGAGTGACTGAATGAAAGTGTGAGTGAAAGTGAATGAGTGAAAGTGTGAGTGAGTGAAAGTGAATGAGTGAAAGTGTGAGTGAAAGTGAATGAGTGAAAGTGTGAGTGAAAGTGAATGAGTGAAAGTGTGAGTGAGTGAGTGAATGAGTGGATGAATGAGTGAATGAGTGACTGAATGAAAGTGTGAGTGAGTGAGCAAGTGAGTGAAAGTGTGAGTGAAAGTGAATGAGTGAAAGTGTGTGAGAGTGAGTGAGTGAATGAGTGACTGAATGAAAGTGTGAGTGAAAGTGTGAGTGAGTGAAAGTGTGAGTGAGTGAAAGTGTGAGTGAGTGAAAGTGTGAGTGAGTGAGTGAGTGAGTGAGTGAGTGACTGAATGAAAGTGTGAGTGAAAGTGTGTGAGTGAGTGAGCAAGTGAGTGAAAGTGTGTGAGTGAGTGAGCAAGTGAGTGAAAGTGTGTGAGTGAAAGTGAATGAGTGAAAGTGTGAGTGAGTGAAAGTGAATGAGTGAAAGTGTGTGAGAGTGAGTGAGTGAATGAGTGACTGAATGAAAGTGTGAGTGAAAGTGAATGAGTGAAAGTGTGTGAGTGAGTGAGTGAATGAGTGGATGAATGAGTGAATGAGTGACTGAATGAAAGTGTGAGTGAAAGTGAATGAGTGAAAGTGTGAGTGAAAGTGAATGAGTGAAAGTGTGTGAGTGAGTGAGTAAGAGTGAGTGAGTGAAAGTGGTGAGTGAGTGAGTGAGCAAGTGAGTGAAAGTGTGTGAGTGAAAGTGAATGAGTGAAAGTGTGAGTGAAAGTGAATGAGTGAAAGTGTGAGTGAAAGTGAATGAGTGAAAGTGTGAGTGAGTGAGCAAGTGTGAGTGAGTGAGCAAGTGTGAGTGAGTGAATGAGTGAATGAGTGAATGAGTGAATGAGTGAATGAGTGACTGAATGAAAGTGTGAGTGAAAGTGAATGAGTGAAAGTGTGTGAGTGAGTGAGTGAGCAAGTGAGTGAAAGTGTGAGTGAAAGTGAATGAGTGAAAGTGTGAGTGAAAGTGTGAGTGAGTGAGTGAGTGAGTTGAGTGAGTGAATGAGTGGATGAGTGAAAGTGTGAGTGAGTGAGCAAGTGAGTGAAAGTGTGTGAGAGTGAGTGAGTGAGTTGAGTGAGTGAGTGAGTTAGTGAGTGAGTGAGTGTGAGAGAGAGAGAGAGTGAGTGAGTGAATGACTGAATGAGTGAAAGTGTGAGTGAGTGAGCAAGTGAGTGAGTGAGTTGAGTGAGTGAGTGAGTGAATGAGTGGATGAATGAGTGAATGAGTGAATGAGTGAATGAGTGAATGAGTGAATGAGTGAATGAGTGAATGAGTGAATGAGTGACTGAATGAAAGTGTGAGTGAAAGTGAATGAGTGAAAGTGTGAGTGAAAGTGAATGAGTGAAAGTGTGAGTGAGTGAGAGAGTGAGTGAGTGAATGAGTGGATGAATGAGTGAATGAGTGAATGAGTGACTGAATGAAAGTGTGAGTGAGTGAGTGAATGAGTGGATGAATGAGTGAATGAGTGGATGAATGAGTGAATGAGTGAATGAGTGACTGAATGAAAGTGTGAGTGAGTGAAAGTGTGTGAGTGAGTGAGCAAGTGAGTGAGTGAGCAAGTGAGTGAGTGAGTAAGAGTGAGTGAGTGAGTGTGAGAGAGAGAGAGAGAAAGTGAGTGAGTGAGCAAGTGAGTGAAAGTGTGTGAGTGAAAGTGAATGAGTGAAAGTGTGTGAGAGTGAGTGAGTGAATGAGTGAATGAGTGAATGAGTGACTGAATGAAAGTGTGAGTGAAAGTGAATGAGTGAAAGTGTGTGAGTGAGTGAGCGAGTGAGCGAGTGAGTGAATGAGTGAAAGTGTGTGAGAGTGAGTGAGTGAGTGTGAGAGAGAGAGAGAGGAGAGAGATTGAGGGGAGAGGGAGAGAGGCAAGAAGGGAGAGAGGCAATAGGGGAGAGGGAGAGAG